TTTATACCCTTTACTATTTTTTTTTTAATTAATAACCTTTTCATTTCTATTAAAATTATACTATTTTTAATGTGTAATCGTTAAATAACCAATCATGAATCGATCATCACTAGGATTTGGTCCGACAAACCAATCAAAACAAACGGAAGAAGATGATCTGAAAGCCATGAATACTAAAAGGATCAAAAGAATGAAATGCTCAATTTTTGTCATCATCTTCAATGTCGAAAGTCTATGATAATATGGACTTTGATCATATTATTGAAGATAATAGGCAAAAGGAGATGAGAGTTAAAGGAATTAAATCTTACAATGACACAGTGCTGGGAAAGAATTCTTTGAGCATGACTGAGGAAGCAAAAGAAGACAATGGGGAGGATAGTGTCGTTATAGAAGGAGAACTAGGAGTCATGATCGAAGAAAGCAAAATAGAAGGTTATGATTGTCCATCGTTTGTCCTATCCAACTATGAGGAGAAGCGCATTCATTGTGCCTAGAGAAGAGGTGTTATAGTCAAGCTATTAGGAAGAAGGATAGGATATAAAGCATTGGAAACCAAAATGCATCTTTATCAGATCGACCTTGATTTATTTGCGATCACTACTTATTGATGAGGATTCGAGTCCTAACTTTCAGCCTGATAGTGACACCATTGAGGATGTAGCAGTTTGGATTAGAATAATTGGCTTTCCTATTGAATATTATGACTCTAAAATTTTATGAATTATTGGAGATAGAATTGGGAAATCTATGAAGGTGGACAAGAACACAACACAAGTTGAAAGGGAGAAGTATGCAAGGATCTGAGTGGAGGTAAATCTCACAAAACCTCTCCTTGCAATGCTCACCATTAAAGGAAGAGTTTTCAAGATAGAATATGAAGGGCTTCCCTTTTGTGTTTATCTTGTGGCGGATTTGGACACTATAAGGAGGGATGTCCAAATAGGATAAGGGTAATTGGTGAGTGGCGGAATGGATACCGATAAAGGATTGGTAATAATGCGACTGAAGCAATGAGTGAAGGACCATGGAGCGTGGTGCAGAAACAAAGGAAAGGGAAGAAAGGTGGTGGTTGGCCATAAATTTTAAACTCTGATGCACATTAATGACAACCAAGTTTTGTCAAGATCTTGATTTCCTACATTTAATGAGGAAATACCTAACATCATGTCTACCATTAATGACAATCATGAGTCGTGTGGAGAGAATAATGATGCAATTATAGCTAGGGATAACATGTCAGTTATAGTCTCGTTAAGTCAGCTTAGTTGGTAGATGTATATGGACACCAGGTGCAGAGTCGCGGGTTCGAACCCGCGACCTCCCACTTGTTCATATTTAAAGAGTGAACTCTAGCCACTAGGCTACACGACCAAAACAAACATGTTAGTTATGGGGAAAAATTATTACCCAATCAAAAAATATCACTCAATTGTTCATTAGCGAGGAGACAGTCAAAACAGGTGGCAATGATGAGAATTTAAGTACGGGGAAGAATGTAGATGGTACATCTCATTAAGTAAAATTTTTAATCTCAAGAATCAATGAAATCAATGTGGCAAGAGATAAAATGAAGTAATTTGTGAACAAGGGAAGGTAGTGTTGGGAAACCAAATTCAGCTGTGAAACAAGGAAATGGAAAAGGTAGCACTAGATTGGAAACACATGGAAATACAATTGTTAGTCATTTACTTTACTTTATATTTTTGTAATTCCTTTTTGTGTTGTTTATATCTCATCCTTTTAAGTATAATAACACAAATGTCTAGTTATTGACTTTGTCCTAGTAAAAGCCATGTTTAGTTTTTGAGATAAGACAATCAAAATCTCAATCTTAGTTCGTGAGCTTAGCCACTGAATAGCTCAACTTGGTTTGAGAGACAAGCCTGTCAAAATCTCTTCGTCTATAATATTTCATGGGCATAGCCTCGCAAAAGCTCAAAAGATATTATTAGTGAAACTCTTAATAATTTTTTCTTGAGGAGAAGTTAGGCTAATATATAGGTCGTGCCTCTTCAAATCCTAGTGTAATCTCTCTAAACTCTCTCTCTCTCTCTCTCTCTCTCTCTCTCTCTCTCTCTCTCTCTCTCTCTCTCTCTCTCTCTCTCTCTCTCTCTCTCTCTCTCTATCTATCTATCTATTTATCTATCTATCTATTTATCTCTATCTCTCTTTATTCATAGTTTTTACTTTCTATTCTCTATTATTTTTTCTCATCTTCTTAACTATACTAATAAAACTCAAGGTTTTAAGTAATTGAAATTTAAAATTAATCACAAATTTTGAATACAACAATCCCGCTACCTCTCTCCCTTCTTGTGGTTGGAGTCACTTGTACAACAAGCGGTATCAAAATCTAACTCCTGTTAAAGACTAATTTTTATAGGAGGAAGGAAATGACTTTAGGAGATTCACTAAAAAAACACATCCTTTAATGGGGAATCAACCCACATCCTTTATGGAGAATGGTATGGATTGTGTAAATAGAATATGAGAATCTTCATTGAGGGAATTGATCATGGTATTTGGAATTTTGTGAAAGAAGGTCCATCTATTCCCCACGTGAAGTTAATGGTCTTGTGATGAACAAAGACAATAAATATGATTGATGAGGCGTGAAAAAAACAAGACCTATATATTATTTTTTTCACGCGTGATGAACAAAGACCAATAACTATATGAAGAGATGACACTGATAGTGCATAATTTTAAGAGAATCATAGGCGTGAAAAAAACAAGAAGTACAAGGCAAAAACAAAGGAAAATCAATATTCACTCTAATATTATTCCAATGTGGGAAGAAAAGGCAAATATGATCAAACTTCCCCCCCCCCCCCCCCCCCCCCCCCCCCCCCCCAAAATCAAAAGGAAAATCAGATTCATAAAAAGGCAAAGAAATCTCAGAAGGAATAAAATAAAGATTACATTTCTAAGGACGGAAATGATATGGACTTCTCTGATAAAGAAGCCAATATATGTCTCATGGCAGACCACAAAGATAAGGAGGTAAATTTGTACATTTCTTATCATGACTTGTTTTATACTCGCTGGAATTTAAATAAAGAAACAAGTAAGTTAAAACAAATTTTCTCAAATTCTAGAGAGACCATATCCTTCCTTGAAATATATAACTATAACCTTATGGAAGAAGCAGAGTCTCTTAAATAATAACAAAGTGTTTCAACTCTAGTCGTTTCCCATTCCCTTGAAGTTTTAGTTGAATCTGACAAGTTCAATCAATGCAACATTTTGAAAAATGAAAATAAAAAATTGAAAAAAAAACTTGAAAGATTCAATAAAGTAAAATATAACTTGAATCCCCTTCTTAGATATCAAAGAGCATCGTACAATGAGAAATTTGATAAATTTTTCCATGATCTTAAAACTACCTACCTAGTACAGATCTCTTAAATGCAATTATTGCACTGCCAAAGTTTCTCTTTTTTGCTTTATCAAGAAAATTCATTAAATTAAAGATAGTCATCCTCCCTCATACTTTTATATAAAGCATCATAAATGTAAAATTAAAAGCATGTTTACTACATACTTCTGCAAATACGACCCTCATGAAAAACCCAATGAAAGTACTTGCCAAACTAACATTAAAGGACCCAAAATTATTTATGTTTTTAAAGTTAATATATGAGTTTGTGTGCATAGTGCTTTACAATATCTAATGCTATGTGGTATCTAGATATCAATTGTTCAAACCACATTACTGGAGACAATACCTTATTCTCCTATTTCTCTCCTGAGAAGTAGTACTTGTCTTCTATGGTGATAACAACAAAGGGATAATTATTGGTATCAGTATTGTTGGTAAGTTCCCCAGTACAACAATTTGGAAGGTTCTTTTATTTTATGGTGTAAAGCATAATTTACTAAGTATTAGTCAAATATGCGACAAACATAACAATGTAACTTTTGATTCTTTTGGATGCAGGGTTATAAAGACACAAATTTGATCAAACCATTTTTACCAGCTCTATAAGTGGAAACAACTAAACCATGAATCTAAATAAGATCCCTTCAAATGATGTTTTTATTCTTAGTAGTGAGGAAAATCTTTTCTATGGTATGAGAATAGCCCATAGCCACATGGAACACTTAAACATGTTACTACTCAAGGATTTAGTTATTGGCCTGCCAAACATGTACTTTGAGAAAAGCTGATTATTTGTTGCGTTTCAAAAAGGGAAACAAGTAAGGGTATCTGTTGAATCTAAAAATGTTGTTTCTATATTTTGGCCCTTATAACTTTTAAACATGGATCTTTTTGGCCCATCCATGACCAAATTTTTTGGCAGAAATCTCTATGCCCTTGTAGTTATGGATGACTACTCTCACTATACTTGGACATTATTCCTATCTTAGAAAATATATGTGTTTGTTTCCTTTGATAAACTTTCCAAGCTTATCCAAAATGAAAAATGATTAAACATTGCATCAATTTGTAATGGATTTGAATTCCATAATAAGGAATTCCAAAGTTATTGTAATGAGAATGGAAGTCAACACACTTTCTCCACTCCACAGACTCTACAACAAAATAAGATAGTGGAGAGAAATAATAAATCACTATATGAGCTAGCAAGGATGATTCTCAACGAGACTAACCTTCCTAAATACTTTTGGGTTGATGGTGTAAGCATTATTTCCTATGTAATGAATCATGTCTTGGTAAGTCCAATTCTAAAGCTAACGCCCTATGAGTTGTATAAAGGAAGGAAGTTGAATATCTCTCATTTGCATGTATTTGAATGGAAATGTTTTGTCTTGAATAA